TTATTTGAAGTGGTGGGTCAATGTGTATAGAAGCCCATCTTTATAAAACAAACCAATCTAAATATACAGACACAGGTACACACACATATATATCTGTAAGTGCATTTAAAAAAGGTGTGCAATCATACACACTGGTTATCCAAACTAGGAGGCATGAGACAGACTTTCACTTTCTAGTTTATACTGTAAGTATTACTTAACAGCTTGGTATTTACCTATTAATTTCACTTCTAAAACTCTAGCCTGGGGGTCAGCAAAATTTTTCTCTAAAGGGCCATACAGTAAATATTTCAGACTTTACAGGCTACATATGGTCTGTTATACATTCTTCTTTGTTTTACAATCTTTTAAAATTGTTTTACAAGAGGTCAGGGATCCAGATGTGGCCTGTGAGTCACAGTTTGCCAAATCCTAAAGAATAACCAGAATTACTGGAAAAACTTTATCACTAACTTTGTTCATTTTTGCATTACTTAAAAAAAACCTAGGGCTTCCCTGGTGGCGCAGTGGTTGAGAATCTGCCTGCCGATGCAGGGGACACGGGTTCGTGCCCCGGTCCAGGAAGATCCCACATGCCGTGGAGCGGCTGGGCCCGTGAGCCATGGCCGCTGAGCCTGAGCGTCCGGGAGGCTGTGCTCCGCAACGGGAGAGGCCACAACAGTGAGAGGCCTGCGTACCACAAAAAACAAAACAAAACAAAACAAAACAAACTTAAAAGCAGCTATATACTCAACAACAGCAGAATAGTAAAGCAAATAGTGTAAACCCTGGTATGTCCATATGATGCAACTTTATGTAGCTATTAAAATAGTATTCACAAATAATTTAATGACAGGTGAAATTGTTTATGTTATAAAATTAAGTGAAAAGAACTGAATACAAAATTGGAAGAACAGCATGATCCTAACTATGGAAAAAATACATATAAAAGAAATCCAAAAACTTCTGGTAAAAGGCAGTAGACTGAACATATGCAGTTCAACCCCTACCACTTCCCCTCTGCCACAAAAAAACCATAAATCCACAGAGACAACAAGAATGAGAACAACAGAGAACACATTTTAAAGCTGGAGAACAAAGAGACACAGGCTAAATGCCTAATTAGGCTTGAGAAAACTGACTTCTAAGCCAGCAGAGGGAAAACTCAAAGCTACCAAGCTATACTGTAGAACCCACAAAGTACTCAGGACTAAAGAATCAACAGCACCAGGTACCTCCGGAAGCGTGGGTAAAGGGGTCTTCCATTTAGTGTATTCTGAATCAAACTTGATTCCACATCCTAACGCTAGCACTGTGTACCCTTCAACAATTCATTTTACTACATTTATTACTACAGTTTCTTACTCTGCTAACTAGGGATAAAGCTGTTAACCTCATTTATCTTACATAGCTGCTATGAGGTCAAGAGGGATAAAAAAAAAATGTGAAAGTGCTCTGTAAGCCATACCAGTGACATCATTTAAGGAATGTCTCTGAATATTACACATTTGCTCCTCTGGTTATCACATTACATGCAGTTTTTTTCTTTCAAGGTATTTTTGGTCTTATTAGCCCTATACATGACATTCTTTAGTTCCCCAAGGAAAGGAACTATGTAGCTCTTATTCGCAGTACAGTGCCTACACACAGTAAATGCTTTCTATTTACTGACTGAATAGGTAAATAAATTAAACTCCTTTAGGGAAAGGTCAGGTCTTAACTCACTTCTATGATGCCAGTGCCTAGCATGGAACAAGAACTCAGTTTGCTCAATGAAGAAAATGTACTCCTCCAGAAGTTAGAAGAGTGGGTTTCTAGTCAAGGTTCTGGCACTAACCAAAGGGGTCGCTCTCTGGGCCTATGTAAAATGAGGGGGCTGGTTGGCTCAAATAATCTCTAAAGTTCTAAAGGAGAAGACAGCTGGAGCGGCCTATGATTAGAAAGAAACTCTGCTCCAATGGTGACAAGTCCCAACAGACTTATCCCAGCTAGACTTGCAAGGCTTATTGTCTACCAGCCCCTCAGAAAAGGCTGAGGTCATTCCCAGGTCCTCTCTAAAACTCTGTGATAAGAAACATCGGTCTAATACGACCAAGACTATAGTCACCAACAATAATGCCACCCAAACAATTAATCAGTGTTTCCCAAAGTCATGTCTGCAGAACAGTCCTGCATGTTAATAAGTGTTACTTGAAAAGGGGGCTTATAGAACCTGAGAATCACAGGGTAAGGTTCTTTGCTGTAGGTTTTCTCAGCATTAACATACTAATGTGCACTGCGAATCTCCCATGAAGAAGCAGCACTGTCCAAATTTACTTGTTCAAAGAATGTTTTACTTCAAAGGTCCCACAGAATACTCTTTGAGAAATTCTCCCTTGTATTAATACAGTTTCTCTCACACAGAGAACTCTATTGCCTTAACCCTTCTAGCATCCTTGAGAAGAGGCCAGAAAAAAACTTTTTTTTGAGAGAGAGAGAGTAGAAGCATTTGGGCTCAAAAATTCCAGATCATACCAACTCATGCATTAAGGTATTTGATGTTACTAATTTGGTTCAGACAGTAAGAATTATACAACCTACCTGGTTTCCCTTTTCACCAAGTCTATCTAGAAAAGCAGAGCTCAGTTAGAGTAAGCTATCCTAGGCTTCTGGGATAAGCAGCTCCTCTTCCGCCGACACTCTCAAACCCTCCACTAGCCATCATACAGTTGTTTTTATCATAAGTTAATTTTTTAGAAAGTACTAAATAATGGAATAAATTACCCAGATAGTACTGTGCTGCTGCCCGGTTGGAATAAAGAACAGCATTCAAATCAGGGTCTGCACATTTCTTCTTTAATCCTTCAGTGTACGAAATCACAGCTTTCTTATAGTCTTTTTCTTTAAAGTAATCATTGCCCTCGTCTTTAAAGGTCCTGGCCTGTTCTGCAAAAAAGAGAAAAAATGATCACTATTTCCTATTTTTTAAAGGGCTCATTAAAAATAATTCTAAATCATGCAATAATGTAATATATGACAAACAAAAACAAAAAACCAATAGGGAAAGAAAACTCAAAAACGAATGCTATAAAACTGGGTATCACCATGGAGAAATAAAGTTACACATACTTAACTACAATCAATTCCAAATACTTTACAAGGTAGATTATTAAGTGTTTACAAAAAAAAAAAAAAAAAAAAAAAAAAAAAAAAAAAAAAAAAAAAAGTATACTTATCCTAGCTCTTGAAGAGAGGACTCTTTTTCTCAAATATTATTTTGCTTTTTTCTTATTTATTTGTTTATTTATTTTTGGCTGAGTTGGGTGTTCGTTGCTGCACGTGGGCTTTCTCTAGTTGCAGTGAGCGGAGGCTACTCTTCATTACGGTGCACGGGCTTCTCACTGCGGTGGCTTCTCTTGTTGCAGAGCACGGGCTCTAGGCGCGCAGGCTTCAGTACTTGTGGCACGTGGGCTCAGTAGTTGTGGCTCACGGGCTCTAGAGCACAGGCTCAGTAGTTGTGGCACACGGGCTTAGTTGCTCCGCAGCATGTGGGATCTTCCCTGATCAGGGCTCAAACCCATGTCCCCTGCATTGGCAGGCAGATTCTTAATCACTATGCCACCAGGGAAGTCTGACAGGACTTTTTTTTTTTAAGTACAGAAGAAACGGGGGGAAATTACACTTCTGTTTTTGCGCGTGTTGTTTGAGTCCCTGGAATACAAATTACCCTCCTCAACTTAGCAAAAGCCTACAAAATTGTTATAATTCAGTTAAAATTTCCCACCCAGTGAAAGCCCACTCCTACTTCCCCCACCTTTAGTATTCCAACAGCACCTATAGTTACACTTGGCACTTATCACACAGGTTTGTCCTGATTCTTTAGGGCAGTTTGGCTATCCACTGGAATGTAACCTTTGAGGGCAGTCTCATTCATTCCTGTATCCCCAATGCCTAGCATTTAGTAGGTATCCAAAGAAGTATATTTGGAATAAATAGTGACAAGTTAGCTCGGGCTAACTACTTCTTGTTATCCATCAGAAGCTTTCTGACCCACACTTTATCTCAATTCAATGGAGGAGCAAAACAAATGTTAGAGTCATTGAAGATACCTTCTGGAGATCGCTCTTCATCAAAAATAATTGACTGGAGGCAAGCCAAGTCAGGATTCTCCTGGGGATCAATTTCTGATGGCGCTTTCTTCATAAATAAGGGGATCTTTTCAAATTCCTGGAGGTTGTTAAGAGATGAATGAACTACATAAATAGGATTTTCCACTGAGTACATCCAATTCCATGTCTCTACATCAAAGTTTTCTTACTCATCATAATTTGCAAATCTTCATGATTGCCTTTCTCTCTCCCTATCCAGGCCCCAGTTTCCCATCTGTAAAACAGAGTGTAGAATAATCCCTAAAGATCTTTCCATTCTCACATTCTTATAAGAGTGGTAGTAATCACCATCGGTTGAGCGCTCGTATGTTCCTGGCACTTTACCCACCCTCTCACTTCAGCTCTGCCACAATCCCACGAGATTGGTGTTACAGTTAGAGGAATTTTACAAATGAGGGGATGGGCTCAGATAGGTGAAATTAACTGATCCAGTATTACAGCCAGTATGTGGTGGAGTCACAGGTTTCTGACTCCAAAACCTGGACACCTAAACGTACTGGCAGCTTAAGAAGACCCTCAAAACTTTTCGGGGCCGATTTTTAACACTCAAGTAGAAACCACCTTTCCGCTGGCAGCGGCAGGGCTCTGAGGTGAGGGAGGCGCCTCGGCGCCCTGGAGGCCCCAGGAGTGCGGACGACGCGCGCGCGCGCACACACACACACACACTTGCGGGGACCCCGGGCCCGCTCACCTCCTCCCACTGGTCCTCGTGGAACCCGCCGCGGTAAGGCTGGCTCTGGAACTTTTCCAGGAACGAGTCCATAGCGTCATCAGAGGCCGCGTCCTGCTCCTGCCGCTCCATGTCAGCTCCCTGGCTCTCCTGCCACGGTCCAGACGCCGAGAATCGCTCGACAACTTCCGGCGGCGTGGGTACCCTTCCTTCAATCTTCCGGGCTGCGCCGGCCCTTGTGCCTCTGGTTCCGCCTTTTTTGGGGCGTGGCCGACCGGACTCCACCTCTCCCCCGGGAAGCACCGGCCCCGCCGCGCCCTCCCGAGTACTTTTGGGGTCGTGGGTTCAGTCAACCCATAGTTCCTAAGCTTCTTCCGTGTTCCAGCCCTGTTCTAGTCGCTGGGTATACAGCGCTAGGCAAAGCAGGTAAAATCCCTGCCTTCTAGGAGTTGATTAGGTAGAGGAGAGAGACAGACAATAAACAAATAAGATGTGAGAGCTTGTCAGGTGGTAGCAAGGACTATGGAAGAAAAGCTTTAAACAGGGTGGGCAGGCATTCAAGCAAAGGAAGAGGCTGGAGGTTGTCTGCGCAAGAGCATTACCCATGGAGGGTACAGAGAGGGCCGGGCTCGGTGGTGCAGCAAGGAGTGTGAGTAGAAGGTAGGTGGGAGGGATAATGGGCTGTGAGTCTGAGCGTTTGGGTTTTCCTCAGCGTGCAGTGGGACCTTCTGGAGAGTTCTGAGGAAAGGAGTGATGTGCTCACACTCTGTTTCTGAGGTGAACCATCTCTACCCTCAGTCCCCACAGCTGAGATGGGAACAAGGCCTCCGGGCCAGGTAAGCCTTCCTGCAACCCCTGGGTTACCCAGCAACTGGCTGCTGGGCCCTGAATCGGGTGCTACAGTCTTGGCAGCTCACAGCCTAGTCTAGAAGGAAAGACAGGCAGGTGGCAGACCAATCTAAACCCCAGCTGGTCACAAGCCTGTGCAGTGGAGGCGCAGAGGAGTGGGTGTTCCCTGGGGGGTTCAGGGAGGTTTCACAGAGGAGGTGACACAGACCTGGGAGCAGAGATGAGGACTATCTCTGCAGATGGATGGGGGCTGAAGGGAAGTTGGGCATTTTAGGCAGTGGGAGCCCATGTGCAGAGACACGCGGGTGGGCAACAGCCTGCATGCTGACTACCGCAAGAGTTAAGAGGAAGGCCAGCAAGGTGGGTGGGGGCCAGAGGGCCTGACTGCCCTGTAGCCCTTTATCCTGCAGAGGACAGTGAGCCACTGACAGACCTATAGGCAAATTTGTCTTAGGAAGGCCTGGGTTGCCAGGTGAAGGATTGATGGGAGAGTCTGGATTAAGAGATTGACAAGGAGAATGCTGGTGAGAGGCCAAGGGAGAAAAGAGATCTGAAGCCCAGAAGCAGAGCTGGCAGGCTTGCTCATTATTTGACACGAGGATGAGACAGACAGCAGGGCTAAGGATGACACGTGGAGCTTTCCAGGGTCAGGACTGTGTGTCTTTTCCTTTCTACCTCACCCACACCCAGCAGAACACCTGGTCCAAATGCTCCCTTTCCTCTAAATCCAAACCTCCTTTTCCACACTTCCTCCTCTAGCCCGCTCCCTAAGGATTCCCTTTTATTCTCTTTATTTATTTTCCCTTCCTGAATACAGAGCCTACAAAGTCTTTTTGCTTCCTTTTTAAAATGTGATTCCTATAAAATCCTGTACGATTTTAGGTGATGGTAGGGAAGGTTCAGAGAAGGGATGTGCTCTTTGACCCTTCCAACTCGAGACTACTTGGGGGCCTTGGCCAATAATTGAGCCTATCAGACTCCTTTGTGCTTCAAGACCACCCAGACCCAGAATAGGTGGCTGTTATGTATCAAGGCCACCAAGACCAGGATGCTGGGCAATGAAAACGGCAGTGTCTCTAAGGTGGAAAGGGCTCAAGCATGGGAGTTGGGAGGCCTTTGGGATCCACACTTCTATTGCTTCCTGGCATGACATTGGACAACACCCACCGTCTTTGAGCCCTGTCCTCATTTGGAGAACGTGGGCAATGAAGGCAACCTGCCTTCCCCTTAATTCCATATGGCTACTGTGAGATTCAAATGAGGCAATGCTCGTGAACATTCTTGGCAATGGACAAGGTTATGCAAAATGACCACCCCATTTCCTACTCTCTCAGGCTCAGAATCCTGATGGCCTTGGCCTACATTTATTAGAAGATGACTGTGTGGTCAACTTCGTGGGTTCCTCATCCCCAGCAAGAGCTTAAATGTAGGTGCCCCTCAGGCTTATGTCTCTTCCTGCTCTGCACACTCACCCAGGGAATCTCAGCTCACACCTGTGCACAGATGAATCCCAAATCTGTTTCCATCTCAGATCCCTCCCGCGTGCAGCCAGCACCTGGGGGCGGTCTCCACTAGCATGGCAGACAAGCCCCTCAAGTTCACCATGTCCAGACTGAACTCACCCCTCCCCCAACCTGCTCCTGGTCCTGAGGGACGCTCAGTGGGGGACGCCATTGGCCTAGTCATCCACCCAGAAACCTGGGCACCATCCTGACGTCTTGCTCTGCCTCCTGTCATCCACCAGATTCTGAAAATTCTCCCTCCTCAATCTCCCACAGGTCCAGTCACCCTCTCCATCCTGCACTGCAGCCCAGGCCCCTTCCAGGCCCCGAAAGCCTCTAGCCGGGTCTCCCTGTCTGTGCTCTTGTCCACCCCCCACCCGCGACCCAGCACTTTCCCTCCATTCCTGCATGAGCTTTCTTCCTCTCTGTTTTCTGATTTATTCCATTTTATGCTCCAGAGCCCTCCTCCTTTCCCACTCCTATCACTCTAATGTGTTTTAATGGACATTTTCAGTTTGCAAGTATCCTTGCAAGATGCAACTTCTTTTGTGCATATGTTTTATATAGTTTTTTCCCTCAGCACTAGGTTTTAGGTCCCATCCATGGTGCTACGTGTACCCCTACTGCCCCTAACTGCTGCGTGGGACTCCAGAGTGCCCATTCACTTCCCGAAGATGGGTCCTCAGGCTGCCTCCTCTGCCTTGCACCACAGATAACACTAAGACTTCCTCATACGTCTCCCCTTATGGACCTATGGGAATATTTCCCTGACACGTGTGCCCACGAGTGGAATTGCTGAGTTACGGGCATGCATAAACCTATTATGACTGAAGAGTGACAGATTCCTGTCCAGAATGGCTACCATCTGCCCTCCTATCAGCAGTGCCTGTATGCACACGAGGAGGGAGCTTTCTAAAGCAGACATCTGCCCACATCTCCCCACTGCTTGCCTCTCCCCTTCCCACCATGCCTTCCCAGACTCTGAAGTCTTCCTCCTTAACACAGACTCCAAGGCCATACTGACCCAGCCCTTGTCCTCCTCTTCCTTCCCGCTCTGGGCTCCAGGGCACCTACGTATCTGTAGTTGGTTCTTGGTCCCACGTGCCCTGCTCTTCTCCATACACGCCTGTCATATGGTCATCTTTCCAAACCCCCTGGAAGGGACGTCTCTTCTCTGGGAAGCCTTCCCTGACACTCCGACCCCCAGCTGGCTGATGTACCTCCTCTGGACTTCACAGCCCCTATGCTGCCGCTCAGCACAGCATTGACCTGCTGGGCTGTTCGTGTCTTTATATGTCTCTGATACTTCCATTAGGCCAAAGTTTCTCAACCTTAGCACTTCTGACAATTTGAGATGGACGAGTCTTTGCTGTAGGGCTGCCCTGTGCACTGTAGGCTGTTTCGCAGCATCCCTGGCCTCTACCCACTAATGACAATAATATTCCCACCCCAAGTTGTAACAACCAAAAATGTCTTCAGACCTGGCCAAAATCACCCCCAGTTGAGAACCACTGCATCAGACTATGAACTGCCCAGGGCCTGGGGCTGGGACTCATTCACATCTGTATCTCTGGCACCCAGAGCAGGCCTGGCCCAGATTAGGTGCTCAGTAAATATTGCCCGAATGAGTGGTGGCCAATTGCTGGGCAAAGACTGGAGGGTGAGACTCAGAGATCAGGATTCTGGGATATGCATGATATCATGGGGTGGAGGGGGTTCTCTTTTCCTCCACCAAAGGCTAACCAAATCATCATCTCCTTTTGTTCTTATTCTCTCCCTGTGAGGGAGGGGAACCTGAGACATCTAGCAGACTTACTGTGTGGCCTTGAGCAAGCCATACCACCTCTCTGAGCCTCAGCCTCCCCACTTATAAGATGTGGACAGGACAGACTATGTCCATCTGTAAATGTTGACTGGCTCAATGATTAAGGCCATGCTCATCTCATAGGAAACATTCCGTGAGGAGAGGCAAAACACGTGGCATTTATAGTGAGCATGGCTGGGACCATGGCCACCTCCGAGGAGGGCTGGAGGCTCAGGGACATCACTGCTTCAAGGACATCTTCAAGGAACCCAGCGCCTGCATGATCCAGGAGCGCCGCTGGTGGGAAGTGGGCAGGTTCTCACAGCTAGGGCTCCAGCGGTGTATGGTAGCCGGGTCACACGCCCAAGAGTCCCCATGTGGCAGTGGCCAAGAGTCCCGCCAGCAGCTGGCCAGGATGCTGTCCCGGGCCTGAGCCGCGTAGATGCACACTGATGCTTCTGGGTCGTGTCTCAAGGTTTCCAGAGCTGAGTTATGGGGAGGAGAGAAGTCGCTTGTTAAGACCAGGTCCACCCGTGAGTCTCACACCCCATCCTTCTCCCTTCATGCCTTGGCTTTAGCACTCTGCTCAGCGTCCCCTCATCTCCCAGCTCTTCAAATCGTTCATGCCTTTTGAAGCCTGAATCAAAACCTGCGTTCTCCGGGAAGCCTTCTTGGACTACCCCAGCCTACCTTCATGCTCCCATCAGCTTCCCCAGTTACAAAATTTACGTGCTCCCTTAAAAGTCTGAACTACTTGCTCTACACTAAATGGTTTCTGGTCTTATTTTCTGAGCCTCGTTTCCTGGATCATAGGCTCCCCTAGGGTGGGGTTGTGTGTCTGTGTCCTGGTGACTCCACAGTACTTAACATGTACTTGCCTGGATCAATACCAGCACAGTTGGACTGAGCTAAAACCCCTGGCCTTGGGACATAACCCTTCCTTTTCCCATTACCCACTGTGAGCCTACTCGTTCCCTCACTGGCCCCTGAAATCTCACCAACGCAGGGCAGGACTTACCGGCTTTAACTTCATTCAGATGATCTTCCGTCATGATGCTCTCCATGCAGGGGACCAGGGACCCTTGAGCATAATCTGAGAGGTGAGTGCCTCCACCTCCTGACTCCGACCCCCACCTTTGGACCAGACCCTCTCAGAAAAGCTCTCCCTACCCTCTTCCAGCCCCACAAGTAAGGACACAAAAAGAGAACTTCGTCTTGACCTGGGACAGATTCCCTACGACACAGATTCCTAGGAGAGGTGGCAGGTCCAGCAGGCAGGGGTGGCACCAGGACAGGGGCAGGAGCTGGGCGGCAGCTGACTCTGAGAGGTGGCCCTAGGTGGTCTCTTCCCCAGGCTGGTCCTTACTGTCCTTAGACTCAGGGAGGTGCTGCCTCGGCACCCCCTCCTCCAGGGAGTTTGAGCCACAGTAACAGGAAGAGTACCAAGTGCCTCGCATACCTTCCGGGCAAGTGGTTGGTGGGGCCCCGGGAGGGGCTGAGACTCAGCTCCTCGGCCACACTGCTCAGCCCTACCCTGCTCCCAGCCTGCATGCCCGGCTCCTAAAGTACCTGTGGATCCGTGAATGAGCCGGACCTCTCAAAAGGCCCTTCCCACACTTCTGTGCCTGGTTCATTCCTATCTGTCCTTGAATATTCAGTTTAACACAGTCGCTCGTCCAGGAAATTTTTCCTGACCCCGCCCCCGAGCTAGTTAAACGCCTCTCTGGGTTCCCAGGCTCTCTGAGTTTCTCTCTACTTGTATATACTGTGCTTTATTTTACTTGTGATCCGTGAACATCTCCCACCAGACCAGGGGTTTCTTCAGCTTAGATCCACTGGGGATGGGGGCGTAGGAAGGATAGTCTCTGAGGGTATGCTTATATGCATTTTTCTAGGCAAAGTGCTCATAACTTTCTTCAGGGTCTCACAAAAGATCCATAACCCGCAGGAGGTCAGGAATCAAAACACGATGCCAGGAGCTGTCTGCGGGCAGATGCAGGTGCTACCCAGCTTTCTTTTCCCAGCACAGGCGCTGACACAGAGAAGCCTCCCAGGGTGTTAAACACCAACATTTTTAGAAGTGATTAATTTGGAGCAAGATTTAGAGAAGTCAAAATTTAAGAAATAATGTCACTCTGTGTGAGAAGGTGTCCCTGAGCCGGTCCCCACAGCCTGAGGGATTGCCCGTCCACCCCTCTGCCCCGCCCCCTGTCCTGGGCATCACTCACATGTCCCGGAACTGATCACGTTAAGAGCCACCCCTACACCTCCCCACCCCCAAACATCAGCATCACCTCCTGAAAAGTTCTGTGTTTCTCTAGGCTAAGCGCAGTGCCTGACACAGAGAAGAGGATCAATCAACGTTTGCGGCATAAGCCGATGAGTGCATGCACGGACGACAGGATGGATGAAAAACTGCAAGTGAATGGGGCGAAGGTACTAAAAGAAACATCGCTTTACAAGGTGGAGGGCTGGGAACGTCATCCTCTCCAAGCCTCTCTGCAGTAGGGTCTCCTGATCCTTGAAGGGTGTGTGGATATTTCAGGGAGCGGAGGGGAGGCGGGTAGCTGAGAGGAGAAAGCATGCCATCAGAAGGGTCCTATGGGGGGACCCTGAGCGAGGGGAATCTATGGTTTTTCCCCCAGAAAGGCAGAGGTCGGGACTGTGGAAAGAAGGATGAAGGTGACTAACACTGAAGGAGTACCTTTATCTGCCAGTGTTCACACACGCAAAAAAAATTCTCATCCGGTCCATGAAGTAGGAGTTGATCCCCATCTTACCAATGATCTTACAGATCTTACAGAGGAGCCTCAGTGGGAGTAAATGACTCAGTTGGGGTCACACAGAAAGGGGATCATGGAGCTGAGATCCTAGCTCACTTTTCCACTGTGCAGCTTGGCGCCTCCTGCCAGGTCGACAGCAAGCTCCTGCTGGGCCTGGACCCCACCGTACTCAGCGGGGACGCAGCACTTCCGCATACAGATGCCAAGGTTGTGACCTTGGCTCACTTCCCAAGCAGTGATCTCAGAGGAGGGGACACCTTTCTAATTTATACCAAGGCCGTCTGCTGGCCAAGGCTTGCACCCAAGGGGAGGCATCCACCCAGTGCCAGAAGGGCCGCAGCTTCCTTCCAAGGAGAGGAAGCAGTAGGACTAGTTCTGCTAGGGCAGGTTACCTATGAACATGACCGAGGACTTCCGGAGGGAGGCCCTGGAACTCTTGGTGTACTCCAGGCTCTGGCTGAGGAACGTGAAGGCACTGTCTCGATGGGTGTCCACCTGGACAAAGAGAAACCTGAGAGTGCTGGGCCCTCAGAGGGACTACCCATCCACCCCTCCCAAAGCTAGGAACGGGGACCATGTCAGGCAGTCGGGTCCTGGCTCCTTGCCTCCTAAACATCTCTGCTACCCATTCTGGACTCTCCCAGAGGCTAGGCCTCATGTTCTCTTAGCTGATTGCAACAGTCATTTCAATGGTCCTTCTGTCTTGGTTGTCACTTCTTCCAATCCACCCACCTGCTACAGCCGGAAGGTAAGTTCTAAAATGCAAGTCCAGGGACTTCCCTGGTGGCACAGTGGTTAAGAATCCACCTGCCAATGCAGGGGACATGGGTTCAAGCCCTGGTCTGGGAAGATCCCACATGCCGCAGAGCAACTAAGCCCATGCACCACAACTACTGAGCCTGTGCTCTAGAGCCCTCGAGCCACAACTGCTGAGCCCACGTGCCACAACTACTAAAGCCCGTGCGCCTAGAGCCCATGCTCTGCAGCAAGAGAAGCCACCACAAAGAGAAGCCCACACACCGCAATGAAGAGTAGCCCCTCACTCAGCAAGAGAAGCCACCACAACTAGAGAAAGCCCACACGCAGCAATGAAGACCCAACACAGCCAAATATAAATTAAAAATAAATATATTTAAAAAAATAAAATAAATGCAAGTCCAGCCAGAGCTGAGAATGGACATGGCATGCGAGGGACATGACTAAGGAGACAGGTTTGACCAAGGTAAAGGATTCAAGTTACAGAGCAGTGGGGAATAAACTAGAGACTTAGGAGGGTCTTAAAAGTCCTTAAAATACAGATATGAATAGGGCTTCCTTATGCATTAGAAAATACGAAGCCAGCACTTATTCTTAATAGGGCAATGACAAAGCAATGTTCTGGGCCAAATAGTCTGACAGTGATGTTCAGGTTGGGTGTGATCAAGTAGAAACTAGGGGGCAGGCAATCTGCTAAGAGACTGTTGAGGGAGATGAAGAGAAGTCTTATCTGATCACTCTTCTGTTGACAATCTGCATGTCAGGGAGTAAACTCCTGGGCCTGGTGGGCAAATCAGTGTCAACTTCCATCCCCACCTCCATGCACACCATGCTCCGGTCCCAGTCATGGCCCAGCTCTCCCCAGATCTGTACCTGGTACAAGCCATTGCTCCTGACTGGAGTGCCTTTCCCTCTTTCCTTCCTGATGAGTTCCCTCTCATTCTTTGGTGCTCAGCTCAGAAACCAGCTCCTCCCCAAAGCTTTCCACAAGCCTCAGGCAAAGCTGATCCCACCACTCTTGACGTTTCCGTAGCATGTTGCACAGCCTTTGTCATGGCACCTATGACATTGGCCTATAATTATTTATACCTGTCTCCCCCACTGAATCTGGTGTTCCCCCAAAAGAAGGGGCCAGCTCACTCAGCTCAGAGTCCTCAGTACCCTGGACAGAGCTTGGCGTTGGATGAATGAATGACTAGGTTACGGACCCCTTCTTAAAGCTAAGGCTAGAGGTTGACCTTCATATGAGCAGAGGTGCTGATGCCTGGAGAGCAGAGAAGAGACTGAGAATCCGGAAGGGTTTAATGCAGAGGTCACAAGCTGGCAGCCCACGGGCCACAAGTGGCTGGCAGGGCAGCAGCCAGCACAGTGTTTTAAATAAGCTAAATTGATTGTTAATTAATGTCTTATAAAAATCTAGATTTTCTTGTGAAACTGGAGGCCCTGGTGAGAGTGGGCTGCATGGTGAGCTGGAGCTCTCCACTTGTGCTTTCAACAGAGCCTGGGGGGACTTCCCTGGTGGTCCAGTGGGTAAGAGTCTGCACTCCCAATGCAGGGGGCCCGGGTTCAATCCCTGGTTGGGGAACTAGATTCCGCATGCATGCTGAAACTAAGAGTTTGCATGCCGCAACTAAGAAGCCCGCATACCGCAACTACGAGCCCGCATGCCACAACTAAAAGAGCCTGCATACCACAACGAAGATTGCGCGTGCTGCAACTAACACTTTGTGTGCCGCAACTAAGACCTGGCACAGTCTAATTAAATAAATATTTTTTAAAAAAAAGGAAAAAAAAATAAAACCAATGCTTAAAACAACAACAACAAAAAAAAACCAGAGCCTGGGTGCTCCAGGTTGTCACAGCCCTACCACCTCCACGTCACTTATAATCATAACTGCACAGTCACAGATCATGTTAAGTATTTGAATTAGCGACCCTGGTCAAACACTTCCTCCAGGCCTTTTTCCCTCTGTAAAATGAGGTAAAATATTAGGCACTGGATTGCAGAGGTTTTGAGCATTGTTGTTAATGGTTATTGTTGCAAAGTAACAATCTGTTACTTTGTATATTTTTGTTAGGTTGGTGGGAGAATGGGGATGCTGTAGGCCCCAGCCAGATCTCCCTTAGGGTGTAAAGGATTTATTCCCCCAGGTACAGATTGCTTTGGTGGAAGAGAACTGCTGGCCCAAAGTCATGTCCCTTCCCAGGCTGGCTGGCATCCAATGACAAGGCAACCTCAAGACCTTCTTCAAGGGACAGAACCGGAAACTGACAGACGGCTCGGTCTATGTGGAAACCTGACCCCTAGTTCCAATGTGAGGAATCTCAGCATAGTGTTGGCTGAGACTTCCCCTGAAACTACACTGCAGCTTGACTCCTCCCCCTGCCACTCCTGCTCTCTGCCCTTCCTTCCACAGGGACTGATCCCAAGGGTGCTCCCTAATAAACCTCCTGCATGCCAATCTCTGCCTCAGAGTCTGCATCCTGGGGGACGCGGCCCATAACAACAGGGAAGGTAGATGGGACTAGATGGCAAAGCTTCCCAAATTGTATGTGGAGGAACCAGGCTGCATCCTGCAGTGCAGCATTTCACTGTATATATGGCTCTCTTCTACTGCAGGATGTTCTTAGGTGTTATCTCGAAAGGGAGTTCTGTGGTTAAATAACTTTGGGAAACCATGAATTAACCATGAAACATTTCCTCAGCACAGAACATCTCAGAGCTTTAATGTACCGATGGTACTGCAAATCCCCAAGAGGAAGATGACGATGCCGTATTTCCCAAACTTATTTGTCTTGGAACTTCTTTTCTCCCCTGTGGGGCATATCTTGTAGGACTGGTGTTGCAAAGAATACACACTGGGAATTACTGTTGTAGAAAAGGGAGCCAATGGAGCCCTTCAAGCAGGGATATAATATAGACAGACTGTGTTTTAACTAGACCATTTTGGTGGCCTGAATGGGGAGTGGACTGGAGGGAATGAGATTCAAGGCTTGGGGACCCAATGGATGGCTGGACCAATGGCCCTGCTGAGAGACATCCATGACCTGAACTAAGGGTAATGATAGTGGGGAGGGGGAGGGAAAGACAGACTCAGAGGTATTAAGGATATTTAAGATTGATCAAAGGTGAAGGTGAGGGAGAGGAATAAGCCTCAGTTAGTTTTAGGTTTCAGCTTTTGGGGATCTAGAGGGACAGAGCAGAACTGACATGGGATAGGCACAAGTTCAGAAGAGATGCTGAGCTTAAGGTGTGTGTGGTTCATTGGGGGAGATGTCGGTAAGCCATGGAGAGGGAACACCAGAAGTGGAGAGAGGAGTAAGAGACAAAGATGAACTTCCAGGAGCCAACGACTCGTAGGTGGTCATGGAATTGTCAGTAAGGATGCTCAGGTAAAAAGAAAAAAGAGGCAAGGAAAGAACCTGCCACCTCCAACACACTCAGAAGGACCCACTGTAGTCTTGGAAGCACTCACAAGGTACTTGCAAATTTTGGCCACCATCTGCTGCTGGTTGTCCCAGGGCTTCCGACTGTAAGCTCTTTTTGGCAATTCCCAAGCCATGAAGCAAGAACAGTGGAACAGGGTCTTCACACATTTCTGGGGGCCAGCAGGAAGAGAACACCAGAGCTGTGGAATTCCAGGACAGCCGGAACGTGTTCCCCCCAAAAAACTGTATGAAACTGGATTTTGGAAAAGCAATTCCTATTTGAAACATGCAGGTGAAGTTGGCTGTTTTGAAGAGAAATACTGACATGGGTACCTTTGGTAAACAGACTTGGCCAGACATAAATAAACTGTCCGGTGATGGATCATCTGTGATTCTAGGTTGGGTTCGGGGCCGTGCACTCACCTGGCTCACCTTGGCATTGCTCTCTTGCATGGTCAGCAGCAGGGGCACCAAGGTGCTGATCATCTGCTCCTCCATGGCCGAGGTGCGGGGCGACCGCAGCTTCTGGACCACCTTGCCGTACAGGTTGATGCAGGAGGAACGCACGTCCTCTCGTGACTGGGGCAGATCCAGAGGCTCAGGCATGCTCCGTCTTCCAGGAGGCTGCCTGGGCCTCTGTGCCCCACATGGAGGCACATGGCCTTCCTTCCACTCATTCTGAGGGCCCCTCCAGGCGCAAGTCACACAGAGACGGAAAACAGTGAAGGCCACCTGGTGGGCCGATCTGGGGCTGGCGTCTCCCTCAGCAAAGCCTAGGTCTGGAGCTCTGCCCACTCTTCCCAGCCAGGGCCCCCACTAGCCTAAAATGTGCCTTCATGCCAAGTGGGAAAATGCCCCCCTCTGCTGCGAACAATCATAAAACAGTGACCCCTCTAGGTGGACCAATCACAGTGAGGCAAGTCTCTGGGGAAACTTGATGACGCAAAAAGACCTCCCTCTGTGAGAACTAATTAGAAAAGGAACGTTCTCTGTGCAAACCAGTTACAAAGAGACCAGGACCAGTCGGGACTAGTGCCGCTTCCCCTGAGCTGACTCGGCCTCGCACAGGTCCCAACAGGCTGTGGGAGCTACTGCAACTCCCAGAGCAGTAGAGAACTGCCCTCTGGGTGCCACCCCACCCCATCCTCCCACCCCCATGGGATTCCTTACATCACTGAAGTGTGGCAGCAGGATCTGCAGCATCTCCACATAGACCGAGCTGTCCATCAGCTTCCGGTCCTGCCCCTTGAATATGACCTTGATGTTGTGGACCGCCTCCACCACCAGCAGCCCATCCACACTCTTCAGACCCTTCACCATGGAGGGCAGGAGGGCCTGCACCTTGGTGGTCTGTGGAGAAGGAGCATTTGGGATGGGGGCCCCTATCTGTGCTAACAGGTGGGAGACCCAGCCTCTGATTCACTGAGATGAACTTGGTCAAGCAAGTCCCACCTCCAGGCCTTTGCTTACATTGCCCCACCTGCCTGGCATGCCCTCACTCAAGCTCCTGCTGTCCCCAAAGCCTTCTTTGGCCTCACTGACTCCTTCCTAGCCTGGATACCTGAGGCCCTTTGTTGTCTCCCCGCTTCTTGGCACTATATAGATGATACCATGCATTGTTAGCTAGCTTTCTGAGTCTATATCCTGTCCCTTCGTCCCTCTAAATCCTAAGATGCAACAACAGTGCCTGGTAGAGAAAAACGCAGCACTTTTAATAACGCTAATGGGGCTTCCCTGGTGGCGCAGTGGTTGACAGTCCGCCTGCCGATGCAGGGGACACGGGTTCGCACCCCGGTCCGGGAGGGTCCCACATGCCGCAGAGCGGCTGGGCCTGTGAGCCATGGCCACTGAGCCTGCGCGTCCGGAGCCTTTGCTCCGCAACGGGAGAGGTCACAACGGTGAGAGGCCCGCGTACCACAAAAAAAAAAAAAAAAAGAATAAAGTATATAGGGAATTATTAAGTGATACCCATTTTACAGATGGGATAACTGAGGCAGAGACAGAAATGAGCTCTGATTCCAGCCACCAGTATTGGAGAGTCAAGGATGGCCAAGCTCCATCCTTCCTCCTGTCAGGGGTCTAGCTGGGTGGGCTCTCCCCTACCCTCCACTTACCTTTTCAGTCCTTTGGGCCAGGATGACCAGGCCTCGGATGGACAGCACCTTCATGATGGGGTCCTGGTGGCTCAGGCCTTCTGCCATCCGCCCCAGAGAGTATTCCTCAGGGATCCGTCGCACCTCCTCCATCTGGAGGAGCTGAGGAAGTAAGGGTAATTATTCCCTGGCCCAAGGGGTACCTCAGGCCCTGTTTGCCTCTGGGGCCTCATTCACACCTGCCTACCCTCTAGCCCACATTCTTACCACCAGCCAGCTTCTAACCAAGCTTCCCATCATTCACGGAATGACTCAGGCTGTTTTGTCCCCTCTGTGCGGGCAGGATTCCCTTCTGCTGGGGCTCTCACCTCCACTCTAGCCCCAGCTCACCATGCACAGCTCCATCCAAAACTCAGCCCCCCTGAAGGCATGTTTGACAGTGTCCCCAGGCCTCGTCTAGGCTGACTGCCCCCTTCTCTGGGGCCCTGGGAGCCCTGAACATGGAAACCTTAGTGCCCCCACGTGCTTATGCATCTGCCTCCCGTATCCTATCCCACTGGCGGCTTCCTTGAGGACACAAACTGAGCCTTTCTCCTTGGGCGCCTGTTACCTGATACAAGCTCTGGGGTGAAGTGTGTGCTCAGGGAACACTTGTTGCCTGAGTTCACATCCAACAAGAAATGGTTCCTTTCCTCCTTAGAATTGCCCTCCAGGACTTCCCTGGTGGTCCAGTGGTAAAGAATCCGCCTTACAATGCAGGGGACGTGGGTTCGATCCCTGGTCAGGGAACTAAGATCCCACATGCCGCGGGGCAACTAAGCCCGTGCGCCACAACTACTGAGCTTGCACACCTCAACTAAAGAGCCCGTGTGCCACAAACTACAGAGCCCACGCGCCCTGGAGGCTGCGCACCACAAAAGAACTGCCCTCCTCCAGTGCCCCCAATTGTGGGATTAGCACCACCAGCCCCCCATTGTCCCAGCCCCAAACCAGGCATCACTCTCATCTCCTTCCTCTCCCTTGCCCCCCACCTCCAGCACCCAACCGGTCTTCAGTTCCTGCCTAGTCATCCTCATAAGCACTTCTCCCATCTGTTCCCTTGTCTTCCATCCACTGTGACTATTGAGACCCTGTGTCTTTGATGAGAAGAGAGAGCTGGAGAGAGCGGGCAGGACAGTTGATGGGGTGGGGAGTGGGGGAGGCAGGAAAAGTGAGGCTCCACCTACCACCCGCCCTCCACCCATCATACAGCACTGCTGCTCTGCATCAGTGTGCTGGCACTGTTCTAAGTGCTTTATGTGAACTCACCTAATCCTCATCAAAACCCTATGAGAGGTCAGAATGGCCATCATCAGAAAATCTGCGAACAGTAAATGCTGGAGAGGGTGTGGAGAAAAGGGAACACTCTTGCACTGTTGGTGGGAATGTAAATTGATACAGCCACTATGGAGAAGCTGGGACGAAGTGAGAGAGTGGCATGGACATATATACACTACCAAATGTAAAATAGATAGCTAGTGGGAAGCAGCCGCATGGCACAGGGAGATCAGCTCAGTGCTTTGTGACCACCTAGAGGGGTGGGATAGGGAGGGTGGGAGGGAGGCGCAAAAGGGAGGGGATATGGGGATATACATGTATGTATAGCTGATTCACTTGGTTATGCAGCAGAAACTAACACAACACTGCAAAGCAATTATACTCCAATAAAGATGTTAAAAATAAATAAATAAAGGGCTTCCCTGGTGGCGCAGTGGTTGAGAGTCCACCTGCTGATGCAGGGGACGCGGGTTCGTGCCCCGGTCTGGGAAGATCCCACATGCCGCGGAGTGGCTGGGCCCGTGAGCCATGGCCGCTGGGCCTGTGCGCCTGGAGCCTGTGCTCCACAACAGGAGGGGCTGCGGCAGTGAGAGGCCCGCGTACCGCAAAAAAAAAAAAAAAAAAAAAGGATAGTATTGGATTATAACCCAAAAAATCAAGTAAATATCCACGAGTCTGTATTGCTATAAAAAGTGACCAAATGAACACGTGAACGTAGAAGGAACAACTCGTACAGAAGAATTCCAACTAATAATTGTAGGCTGAATGAAGGAAGTAGAAAAATCACCATTAGAAACCACAGGAATAATGGCTCAAGGCAGGATCCATTGATGAATGCTAAAATTAGGGGGTAAAAGTTTAAGTTGCCTAGTTTCAAATATATTTCTTACTTATAAAAGGATAGTGTTACCCTCACAGTCCCAACCGCCTTCACCAACTGATGAAAGTTAACATCATCAATAAATAATAAGAAGTTAAAATAGAGGTCATGGGGCCCCTGACATGATGCCCTGAGAGGTCACATCACCTATACAGGTTCTTCTCCTAAATGCGTAACCTCAGTCTAATCATGGGCACACACGAGACAAAGCCAAATGGAAGGACGTTCTACAAAATACCTAGAGTTAGTCTTTCAATGTGCCAAGGCCATGACAGACAAGACTAGAGGAGATGAAGGAGGTCCCATTAGGTCAACTAATGTGCAAGGTGGGATCCGGAATGGATCCTGGAACAGAGAAAGGACATCAGTGGAAAACTGTGAAATCTGAGCAGTCTGTAGTTCATAGTATTGTACCCATGTCTTAGTTTTGATTATTGTACTATTTTTATGTAAGTTGTTATCATTGGGGGTAGCTGGCTGTGGGATATATAGGAACCTTCTCATTATTTTTACAGCTCCTCTGTTACATCTAAAATTATTTCAAAATAAGAGTGAAACAATAAAAGATCTAAAATTTTTGCTTAAAAAAAAAAAACCTATGAGATGGGCAATTCATTATCCCTGTATTATAAGAAAGCAAGGCACAGACAGGTTCAGCAACTTGCCGAAGGTCACAGCTCCCTTGAAGACTTCACCCGCCATTGGAAGAAGCAAGCACACACACGGTCACAGCATGGGGGGCTGGGGGAG